CAAATAAACTTCTTTTTCCAGAGATTGCATCTTTTTCTTCTGAACTGCTTCCTGGAACTCGCATGTTCGCTCCTATCGGCGTTGTCGTGCTCGTCCTTACGCAACAAACAACGTAGTGTCTATGCAATTATTCTCGCCCCCCGTCGTTTGAAGAAATGAGGAAAAGGCTGACTAGATTTAACTGATGCTGCCGAATTTTTTCATACCTGAGGCATGCGTGGATACTTGTTTCCAGACCAGCACATTTTGAACACGCCCCCAGGTCGGTCGTTTGATTTGCGCTGCGTTTTCTCGTGGAGGGGCCTAAATCGGGAAATGCGTCATCGGGGATAGCCCTCTCCTTTGCGGGAATCAGGTCGGCGCCGTGGTCATCCATGAGACTGTCAACAAGCGGTCCGCGAACTAGCTCGCTCATGCTCTCCAACATCACTGACTCCTCCTGGTTTGGGGGACCGGCTTTGGTCGCCGGTTGTATACCTTCAGCGGGAGCCGAGGGAGATTGTGGCCGCGGAGGTTCTGAAGAAGATAAAGTACGCGCCAAGCTGATTTTAGGCCATCAAAAGTATTGGGCTACAGCCCCTGCACCGAGAGTAGAATTGAATTTTATAGTTGACAGCGTTATTAATTCATAGAATTGAAGAACTGCCCAGAAGCTTTCAAACCATCAGGAGTCGGAACCATCTCAGTGATGGGGAATAATGATCAGCGTTTTTCAATTTCTTAGGCACAGACTCATAGGTAACCACAAGGACCTTGTTCTTAAGAAGAGCATCGTAATGAGGTCACCCCACAAAGTTCGAGGACGGGCACCCTTCATGTTCTCAGCACGGCTAAAACATTTTATAAAGTGTAAGACCCATGAAAATGCAGACTAGAAGGGAAGTTAAATGCGGAGTTTCCAACACTGTAACCATTTGCAGCGCACTGCGTTGTTAGGGCGGCTGTGAGTGAGACGCGCCATTCATTGGTTAGATTGGTTAGTAGCGCTTGTTGGATCAGGAGTCCCCGTCGAAGTCTAAACGGGGTGCAGTTGGGAAACGGAGAGAAGCCGCGACCTCAGCCGGCTTGAGCCAAAGGTCTACGGGGCTGAATTAGGTGTCTGGCCGGGAGCTGCAGGCGAAGAGATGCTGACAGTCATGCGGCGAGACGCCGCAGTCG